ACTTGTTTACTATTTGTTTTGGTATGTATGACCCCATTGCATTGACAGTAAAATGACTTTTCTCGCTGTTATGTGGCATCCATACATCGTCCAGACCGAAAGTTCGATACTGTTTTGTTGATTTAGTATAGCTCCCAAAATTGATATGTTCGTGATGAAGTAAGGAAAACTCAACTAGTTGTGGACAAAAGTTCCCTACCGTTTTTAGCCTCAGTAGCTACAATTAATACTCTATCCGAGGAGGCTGTATGCCAGGAGGATCAATGAGAATATGTACCCTTTCGTCAGAGCACTTTAACACAAGAGTACCCACATGTTACGACATGATTTGTGACTAACTGATCTGTGCTTCAACTATGTGACCAAGTGACTTTGGGTTGCCGCACTGGTTCGAACATTCAGTTATGCCTTTTATATCGATGGATGAAATATCCCAGGCATGGACCTCCGAAAATGAGTTAGCGGACAAGCTCTTGTTTTCAGTGGTTTTTCACCAGCATAATGCACCACGAATGAATGATATGAAAACGTAAACAACAGATAAGGATTCATGTTCAGAAGCCCTGGATCAGTGGTTCCCAACCTGGGGGTATTTTCTCCCAAAGGGTTAAAATGGTATTTTACAGGAAGTAGATGTACGTACGAGTGTTGGGTCATCAATCCATCGTCAAACAACATTAACAAAAGACCATCTGTGTGGAAGCATGTAACCAACTACCTGGTCACTATTGATTACCCATCAATAATCATTAGTGAGTTGTCAGTGAATTAGACAATTTTCATTCATGGAAGTTCGTGGGTGTCTGCACAGACGAAGCAACAGCCATTTTAGGCGTATGTTCCAGATTCCAAACATTAGTCAAACAAGTTGCTCCACACGCCACCTTTAGGCATTGCATTATACATCTTTATGCCTTAGTTACGAAACACTTCCACCTGCTTTACTGGACACAATTAACCTGCTAGTGAAAATGGTACATCTCATTCGTGGTAATGCGACAGATACAAGAGTTTTCACAAGAATGTGGCAGTAAATTCGATGTACTGTTATTCCACACAGAAGTGCGCTGGTTTTCGCGTGTGCTCGAGCTTCAAGAAGTAATAGCTGTGTTTTTAATTAAAAATTGCTCAAAACGCGTTTCCTTTATTTGAATGATCAAAAGTAATTAAACAGTAGTACTCCTTTTACTTTATTCAAAGGAAAAGATGCAAATGTTAATAGGTAAGCAGTTTTTAAACTGAACCTTTTAGGGGTTTTTTGTTTATAGTGAACCCGCTTTGTGGGTAATAGCCTCAAAAATATTGAGTACCCATGCCCTAGATGGACTAAATGCCCAAGCTAGCTGATTGGTCTCACAGAGATCAAGGGTTTGTGTGGTGTTGACCACCTAATGTGTCAGCGTCACAGGGGGCCAGTGTAGGGCAAGTGCCCGGAGGAATCTCTTATGTGCACACACGTCAGGGTCATGAAGCTGAATGGCAGTCAATGCGACCGCCGCCAGTAGTCGACATCTAACCGCTCGTATATAGCGTCTGGGAACGCGGTAGATGGGATGAAACGCATTGCGTGTATAGACCTAGTGGCTGGAACCCAACAAATTTGTAAACATGGCTTTTGTTAAAGTTGGACTTGGAGAATTCACTGTGGGGTTGGGTTGCTACAAGCAACCTCTATTGAGACCTCGATTCATTTGAGGTGGACCTCGGTCATTCCGATCACAATGATCTTAGATGAAATGGAAATATTTTGGTGTTGCTCATCCCAACACGGCACTTGTCACTGTTCTAGTCAGTCCTCTGTACAGCCAAGCTGGACAGTGCTCCCGGCCACTCTCAGACAGTTCCCTGCTGTTTCTTCCGATACAACTTGATCGACACGAACAAGCGAATGCGTAAACACTAGAGGAAATACTTGTCCACGTAATTCTGTTCTTAACTTGATAGTTCATTTTTGGCACCGAACTAAAGCTTAACCGTAAGCTTGGTGCGTAGTAGGTTTGTGAAATGCCATCAGAAAGCCTTCCATATGTTGATTCAGTTATCTTGTTCCCCTTGTACGGTAGCAATAGGTAGACCGGCTTCTTTTCCACTGCAACTAATTTGCTCTATTTTTTCCTGTGGGTCCATGTTTATCCGAAGGAACTTCTCCGGGTGGCCATTTCTCTCAACTAGGGTCCGTATGAAGTTTAGCTCATCCACGATTGTGTCCTCGCTACCTATTTTTTCTGCTCGCTCGGTTGGGCTTCAGACGAGCTTCCGTTTCTTACTAATTGGGACGAAGCTGGCAAAATGCATGTATTGCCGATTCTACGTTGCCTTTTTATAACACTCCATTTGACCGATCCATCCGATCTTCCACTCATCTAAACGTCTAAGAACGATACGGCGTTGCATTCAGATTCCACGGTGAATTGTATCTTTGTGTGAGCCGAGTTAGACTGCGTCAATGGTTCTACCTGTGCAGTTAACTATCTGTGCTACAAAATATATCATATACGTAATTTCTGTAATAGACTAAGTTATTAATAGCTTTGCTCAGACAGTTTTTTCCCATTTACTCATAAACACATCTGCAAGTGGCAGTCCTAGCGGTAAGCCCGATATCAACTCCGTTCTTCTGTCTATAGATTAACCCATTGTACTGAAATTGTATGTTACTCGTCTATATCAGAAATAGCCATTTCAGTCGGTCGTTCGATAGGCCGACATTTAGATGATATGATCCAATAGTATCCCATAAGTCGTCCATCTTCGTTTCTAAGGTAACATTGGTAAAAAGCGTGATACCACATCTATCGAAAATATCCTCCTTCCTGTTAGGTCCATGTTCTTTATGGAGTCTATAAAACTATAGGTATCCTTGTGGACCTGTGTTGATATTACGTTCCCGACCGGTTCTAGAATCTTAGCAAGCCATTTTGCTACTGAATGATACGGAGAATCATACATGTCCAATATGGGTCCCAGTGGAAGCCCATAGTTATGCACTTTTTGCAAGCCATAAAGTCGTGGAATCCCTGTCCTTGTGGGACGCGTATATTCGAACACGGTAGAGGCTGAAACAGGAGAAAGCGATTGATTCAGCATTGTTCGATTATCCGCGGCCCGCAGGGACAGTGACCTAGCAACTTTTCACTTTAACCTTAAGCTCATGCCAAATAATGGCACCACTCTAGTGAGCTTATTCAGGGTTGATTGCGCCGCCCCTACATCGCTAAGCAGCAAGGCGATTTCATCCGCATAAACAAGATCAGAGAGCCTTTTCACTAAGCAAAGCCTCAACGCCAGCATTGTGAGGCTCCGTAAGTGATCACTCCATGATGGAATCCACTACGAAGTTGAACAAAAATGGGGAAATTGGACAACCTTGATGAACTCCACCTGTTGTCGGGAAGATATCCGTCAAGTCGCCGTAGACTCTGACGTGACCTGTGGTGTGCTAGTATAAGGCACGTAAACGGTTCATTAATCTCATGGAAACATCTTTTGGAGAAGATTCGTTGCAGCCATACCCAGCCAGACAGCCACCCCACACCCAGGAAAGAGTTAGACGGCCGTTACGTCCTACTGGGACTTGTCAGTAGCTCTGGGAGCCATCCCTTTGCATGTTCACATCATGCGTAACAGTAGATGATGAGCCGCATTATATCGCAGTTAGATACCAGTTATGGCGATTCGCCGCCACCACCTATGGCTCAGTGGTATAACTCGCTGACTCGTAAGCGTGAGGCCATAAGTTGAAATCCGGCAGGATTCGGTGGGTCCGCAGTACTGACGAGTCCAGATAAGACGAAATGGCCGTCTAACGCTATTCTGGACATGTATTAGCTGTCTGGCTGTGTTTGGCTGCGAAACAGAAACGTCTTAGCACTCAAATGGGAACACATTTCCGCACAAGTAGTTCGAACAGCATCCATCGATCGACTGAATCAAATGCACTCTTTAAATCCAGGAACACAGCTATCTTCGGTCTGAGGTGTGTTGTGCCGCTGCTCTAGCACGTGCCACAGAGTGAATATATGGTCTATACAGCCCCGTCCAGGGCGGAAACCTGCCTCTTCTTCCCCAGTCCGGAATTCCTGCTCCGCAGTGAGACGCCGAACCAGAACCGAGGCCACTAATTTTGTCACAACTGGCTTTGGGCTAATACCCCTGTGGTTTGCACTGTCGGTGTGATTACCCCTTCTTGTATACTGCCACTATGATTAATACATTTCGGTTAGCCGGGATGCTTTTTCCTTCCAGGGAAGTCAGTGCTTTGCAGGGGATCTCATCTCCACTCTTAGATAGTGTAAGTAAGAGGTAATCCAATGCGGCAGTACGAAAACGATTGAGGGCTGTGATCGCGTTCCGGACCTCAGCCTTCAAAAGGGTCTCTGGACTAACCGTACATGGCTCATCCTGCATCACCTGAGTAGCAAGAGGTCTAGAAGCAGCAGGCCAATTGAACTGATCTTGAAAGCGCTCCGCCCAACGAGCCATTTGATGCTCCTCATTGTGAATCAGGGTACCCGCACTATCTCCTATAGTACCACTGACGCCTGGTTTTCTGAGACCAGTGGCGCGGATAACTTTGTGGAGCTTGCAGCCATTGTCTACCGTTCGTGCTTCCTCCATTTCGTGTGCCCCACTATTTCACCGGTCTTTTTGTCAGCACACAAGTTCCGCTTTAGTTCGCGCCTAATAGTCCGCCCAGTTACATTATACTCAGAGCCAGCCGGGAGTTTTCTTCTGGATTCCAACAGGTTCTCTGACCTCTCGCATATCCATTAACTGATGCGATAACGATTGATTGTGTCGCAAGCAGAGGCTCTTGCATCGTGCATGGGGGCCGAGGTTCTGTTCCAGAACAACGACGGCGCTTGAGTCCTTGGTGGGTAAAGTTGCGTGTTCAAGCACGATGCAACATTAACTTACCTTTCTCGTTCGAAGGTCCAATTGAACGTGCATACAAATCATAGCCATTTTCTCTCACGTTTCCACTTCATATTTGTTTCCAGGTGGTCGAAGGAGGGGATTGTGCCTATTTTCCCTTCAGAGACTCAGAGCTCAGTCGGAACGTATACGAAGTCTTGGTATGGAACAAAAAGGCGTAGCTGTACATGCTTCAGTACTGGTGTGTTCCACTTCGACATTGTCAATATTCTTGCAAACATTCTCTACCAGCACGAATACACGTCTTAACAGTAACTTATTCTTTTGATGCCTAGTTACTGAGGTTTTGCATGTGGTGAATGATTGGCGGTTCAATTAATCAATAAGTCGTCACTGTGTGAGTTGCTTTCAAATTTGTACAGAGAAATATCATTTGAAACTGTACGTATTTGGTGCACTAAAATATGAGCCGCGGTAACCTTTGCGAAGGAGCAAAATCCGTCGTGGTTTCCAGGAGAGTAATGTTCTCGCCGATTGTGTCCGTTCGATGTCGACTACCTGCGAAGAACTTGAAATTCAGTAATACTCAGCTTCCTTAGACTCATTTTGCACAAAATCATCTAGCGTGCGGTAAAGCTGAGATTACTAGATTTAGTTCCGTATAAAATAATCCGTTTGCGATGGCGCATAATACCGGTAGCCTGATGGCGTGCCCGTCGCTGACGTTTTGGCAGGTAGTCGAAGAAGATGCTCCAAATGTTTCAAACCGCACTGCATAATGACAGTGTTTCTTACGAGTTACGGGCAGAGAATTGAATACTGAAAGTACAGAGTTAGAGGATGTACGTCTATGTTGCACCATGGAATTATTATTGCTTACACAATTAGAGCAACGTCTTTTATTGCAGCACATTTTCAACCTAATTCAGATGTGCGAGGTGCTATTAAGTTCCTATGTGTTCTCGAAATTTGTAATCTGCCAACTGTGGGGTAAAGAATCTTTTGAATCCCGGAACCGATTTTGCCTCGACAATTGTTTCAGGCAAACTGTTCTCTTAGTTCATTTTTCGGTGTTTGCAACGTAAGGAATGGACTGGACGTTTTGGCTTCGGTACCACAAACTTGTACCGGTTCCCGCGACTGCGGCTAAACATGCGTACATGCACAGGCGTCCTCACCATACGTAAATCATTTAGATGTGATGTCGAAACTGACTATATGAAAGGGTATACAGCCCCAGCCTCTTTTATCGATCTTTGTATGACATACTTCGTAGTTTGGGCATATATTTGTTAGGTATAAATTGAACACGTTCTAGTTTTTGCACCTCGTTACGGGTGATTGGACTATGGGCCGGTAGGCCGTAATCGATCATTGAAGAGAAGAGCCGAGCGACAATCTCTTCAGTTCAGATCATTGAGCGTTCTGTGGCACTACTGGGAAATTACTATAACACATCAGTCTGTTTGTTCCACCTACTTTTCATGATTTGTAGCCAATCACCAGAAAGTTTGATATAACTTACGTGGATCAACTTAATGAGACTAATCAAGGTGGATTTGTCCCTACATCCTTCTCTAAAACGAATCCACTAGTCTTTTCTTTGCTGACTAAATGATTCTGCAACTTCATGGCTGACAGCTTTGAAAGACAGAGTAGTGCCTGGGATCAATGACCAAAACGCAGCAAAGTTTCTTCCACGATATTGACTTCCGATGCTTTGAATAAGCACTGGTACATGACGTTTTAAGGCACCAGGGTTGCGCCAGTTGGCTACTGGCTTTGGAACCTTAATTTCCCGGGCTTTTAGCAAAGTTATGGACGGCACTGATGGAGGCATCCGTACTGCGCCACTTCACTTTTCTGCGATCCGGCAACTAAACTTACCGATGCTCTAGTTATTGTTTACCTGGCAGTAACGGATGCGTATGGTGACCAGTTTCTCATTATGGTTGGCTGACTGTAGCTTCGTGTCTTATGTATGCCTAACAAACCACTGGATGCTACGCACGATGAAGGAGTTGGAGCGGGCATGCTACGGGGAGAGATGCAGAAGGGAGATGAACTGTTAGAAACTGAGACATTAAGGGGAGGTTAGGGCGCCTGACTCTCTTTTTGGCGTGAAGGGGGTATTTGGTGTGTTTTTAATACGCAAGTGCTAGTTGGTTTTCTCTCATACGTGCAACCCTGACGCACACCGATTGCTCGACCTCTTCCATTAGCTTTTCCCAGTTTTCGTAGCTCAGTTAGAAATCTAGCGGCTGAATACCGCTGTATACTTAGCAGAACCAAAATCTTCTGACGTGCAATTTTACCTTTCCATTATTTGCGGCACCATCCGAAGACACTTCATGTGATGTGATTTAGAGCAACGCAAGCACACTAGCCTATTCTTCACCAATTTAATACATAATTCACACTTGACTTGAGTCATGTCCGCAGAGGTCCTGCAGATTTAAGGGCACGCGTTGGATGATCAGTCAGCATAGTTTTCCGCGTCGACGGTAAGTTTCAGGCAGCGCATTGTGTCACCTACGATCGGTTGTGAACACACGCTTCACTGTTGGTCGGTTGCTTGATCGATGCCAGGACCAGTTGGTTTGGTACCTAGTAAATGAGTCTGAACACAACCTTGCACACAGAGTGAGAGGTCGCAAATTCCTCTACAATTACCTTGAACAACACCGAGTTGGTATAAACGTAGGCTATTCTGACCGCCTCGAGAATTTTGTATCGAGTGGTGTTACACAAAAGGGCGATCGGCTCAAGGTGATTTAGTTTTCCGCTTGGGTTAAATCACAGATGGCAGTCAAAACAGCTAGCGATGGTGAGGACTTCAAGCGTAAAAGATAATTCTATATATGCGGATGCCTGTGTAGCGTTGGCAAATGTGGTTCAAGTGAGCGTCCGTGACTATGGTGACTGCGATGCGAGAACATGGCAAGAAGTAATCCGTAATACACAGGAGCACGCGCTTCAGTTGTGTGCACTACAGCATGTTCAGCGTCTGAATGCTTCAAGGTTATCTTTACATGTGGTATGTCCCTAGGTATCACTTACCATGGCTCGGCTACAACTGGTGCACACAGTCCAGACGATGTACGCAATTGAAAATCGGGTGGGGAATCCGAGGACGCCAAACTACTCCACTTCTCTCGAGGCTACATTACAAGTGTGAGAGATTTGAGGTCAAGAGAAGGGTGGTTTTTCACCTGCACGTCTTACGTTCTGGCGAAACCAAAGTCCTTTATGTAAACATAGCAGCAATGCATTGTGTAGCACCTAAAGAGGCGTGAAAGCAATCGATCATCCAAACACCCGCTGGGCTATGTCGGTCGCTTCTTATTAGGAACTATATCATGTTTCCCACAGGTGAATGGAACTGGTTCAGAAAAAAGATGAATGCTGCATTTGCGACCAGCAAGTGCATTTTCAACAAGGTGCCGAAAGTAGGCATTGCTGGTCAACTGCTACCCCTAGAGATGCTGTATAATAGTAGCCTAAGTGAAGTAGGTGCTACTTTCACGCACACTGGAAGTTTTTTTTGGATTTTTTCAACGTGCCGGTTACATTCGCACAACAGCATTGCACCGCGCTACTTGACGTCTTCTTCATGTGCCTATCCGGATTCAACCTACTGCATATGTATTGTGCACACACGAAACCCTGTCACGAGAGCGAGTCTGTTGACACTGGGGCAGAATAAATCGGATGCATTTGGTAGAATAGGACAAGCACCTGTGCAAAGGATGATGCCGTACTAAGTTAGGCGCAATTTGAGCGGCCTACAAAGAAGTAACCGGGAGCTTATTGTGTAAGAAGCATTTCGTCGGAAACTTATTCGTTCTCCTAAAGCTTCAATCGGTTCCATGCAGTCTTGCTACTAAACTATGTTCCCACACCATATACCGCTTTAGTGTCTGCGGTGGCAAGGCTTTCTTCCAAGCAAAAGTGTCCCACCTTTGAAATCACATTTTACATTTAAAGCACTTTAGGAATGTATCGGAAGCACCTTTAGATACTAAATGAAGTCCAGTCTAGCATTCGGTAATCGACAGTTTCCAGTGTACTCAGATGGAACTCAGATATTACGTTGTGTAAGAAAGTTATTGCTGTTTTTACCCTTAAGATTTGCAGATACATCATGTCGTGGCTTAAAGGTAACATTTCTAATCGAAATAAATGCCATCTAAACTGACACAATTTTGCCAATGGGAAACAAGCTTATTTATCCCGGATGAATATTATTAGGGAGTTCTAGTGGCGATGAACTCGTCTAATACGACTTCAGCGTCTCCTTCAGTATTAAAACATTCCGCTCGAAGTACGTTATTCAAGTACTTGAAAAAGCGTTACTCAGTAGGCGTGAGGTCAGGGAAATATGGTACGTGAGGTCAAGTTTCGGAACCCATCTGGTGCAGCTTCAGCAGGGTTGATTTTGCAACTTGTGGCCGAGCATTATTGTGCAGGACTTTTGGCCTCTCTGTTGACCAGTGTCGAACACATGCTGAAATTTCTGTGCGTTTAGGCAATTTGTTGACAATACTTCTCTACTCTAATGGTTTCGCCTGGATTCAGAAAGCTGTGCTGAATCAGATTTGCCACAGATCACCGAACGGTTACCATAGCCTTTTGGGATCCAATTTCGGTTTTGCGAATTGATTTGTGGCTTGATCATGGTCCAGCCATTGAGCAGAGCATCGTCGACTGCAGTGAAGGATCCAGTTTTCATAGCACGTCAAAATCCGGTCGAGAAACCGGTCTCTTTTATTGTGTAGAAGAAGAGCAGATGACACTAAAAAATGACCATTTCCTTGATTTGCATTAAGTTCGTACAACACCCACTTATCAAGCTTTTTTCAGTATTCCAATCTCCTGTAAGTGAATGTCAACTGCCACATGCGATACTGCTAAGCCAGACGCAAGATCTTGTACAGTTTGGCGCGGATTCGCTTCAGCTAGGGCTATTACTTGACCGATTGCAGTCTACAACCCTCTTCACTTTCAAGCCTGAAAATCTTTTCGAATTATTTAAAGCCGGCGTTATACACTACGGTTTTTATTAGTTCTAAGACCAGATTCCCCGTTCATATCACGAGCTGTTTCCGCTGCATTTTGACTAAGCGTAGATTGCAACAAGAAAATTGTGTGAATCCATCGTCTGTCCAAGTTGCATAAAATGTTCTTTAAAACTGTAAAATCGGGCTTTTAGCTAAAAAGAAATCCTTATTTCTAGATGGAGCGAAGAAAGCGCTTCAAAAGTATATATACCATCAAGGTCATTTGTTAAAAAGTTATTCGAAAGTAAAGCTGGTCAAATTAACATAGTGCAAACAACAATAACTTTTTTAATAACCTAATAAGTGTGTTCCCTAGCTACTACCAGTAAACTTACTAAACACATAGGAACTCTTCACAATATTTCGCTATCCATGCTTCGCAAAAATTATTGGAATCTCTAAGGAAAGCTCGTTCAGCATGACTAGAAATCTCTAACCATAGTTAATGCTTTGATGAGACATTCACTGTGGTGAGCATGATGTGTTCCGGATGCGTCCAGTTGCATATTCGTGGCTCCAGTCTACTCTGTCCGTCAACAGCAAAGGAAATGAAACTGGACGAATCAATTCATAGGTGTTCTATACTATCAGTTTGCTACACAGGAATACCAAACTAGTGCCGTGTATCGGAGTCTATGTGGTTCGAAAATGTTCTTTTTTAGATTTTCAATGGGTCGGACAAACCGAGGATTCCAGATGTCTCTTTCTTGGATTCCTGGACAGGATGGTTTCATTCCAAACAATGCAATCGCTCTGGAAGATGGAACAAGCATTTGCCGTGCCGAACATGAATCCGCTGTAGTACCAGGCTATTTGATCCCTGGAACAAAGTATGCACGCATTGGCTACCATGGTTCAGTCCTCGAGAAATCCAGCTACGAAGTACTGTGCACCACTGGAGTCCAATGCGCTTGCACGTGAGTTTGTGGAATTTAAGTAAATTCACTTTTCTTCTCGACGATGCGAGACACCCATGTATCGGCGTGATGGAGTAAGGGCGTAATTATGTAGAACTTTGATCAAGTTTGGATCAGGAGCATATAACGTCAAATCAGCCAATAACATTTGAAAGGACAGCAATGACACCTGCAATTGTGAACTGAAATGATTCAATGTTGATTGGATTCCAACCACCCAAGCATATCATTATAAACAGATAATTCCTATATGAGATTATAGTAGCCAACCAAGCACTAGGTCATATAAAAAACTGGGCCATACTTGTACACTTGGCTTTCGTTTTGGAACAACCAAATAGCTTGGTTGTGTTTTGTACAATTAAGAACTTGTTGATGCTTTTTCGAAATTAATGCTTAAAAGTGCAGACATGTACTGCGGCTGGTAGCTTGCTCCAGGTTCAAGCGTGCTGGTCATGAACTTATATTCCGCCACTGAGTAGGTCTACTTATTTCCTGTGTTGCAGAGTGCTGATTGTATTAATGTGATGTTTCGGTTGGAAGTATGTGTATTTCTGTACAATATGTTGTGCAATCTGATTAGGTTGTGCTTCATGCGCAGTAGCCGGAGCGCATCAAGCCTGAGCTACTCACACCTTCCAGATTATTCTAGTTTTGAAGAAAATTCGTTTTGCGAATGCTCTCTTTACGTGTTCCAATGCAATGCGGTTGCGCTTTTTTAAGCTGGTGTACACCATTGAGCAATGTTCCAATGTGAGCCGGGCAAGTGTGATTTGAGGATGGAATATAGACTTGTAGAGTGAAAGTTCTATATATTAATCCAGTGCTCTACCTTGTCCTCACGGCACTACATCATACTTATTCACGAAAGTCAAGCGAGGTCGCATATTGGAATCCCAGTTCTTTCTTGCGACGGATTAATTGGTTTGCCGACCCGAGTCAGGCCACTATGAGTCAAAGCATCATTAAAGGACAATGTACCGCATTTATCAGTGCAAAAAGACATTTTGCACTATGAGCATCAAGTTTCAAGTACATTGTGGTCGAGTTGGATCATATCAACAACGTGACTGAAGGCATCTTATAGAAAAGTGTATACAATACCGACCTGATCCCGAATTGGGAAATCAGATAAAAACCATGCGTAATATTCCACACTCCTTGGTTGTACCAGCACCGCAATAGTCACATTCCACGCCTTCTCTCGGACACTAGGTAGCATTTAGCTCAGCCGAGTTGTGCGGACGAGTGTACAAATAAACGCTGCATGAACGAGTACTTCTAACGTGTCCCTGTAGTTTTAATGTGCATGAAGTGATCTTTTTCAACATGTCAGCCAGTTTGCTTTGCGTTTCCCCGAACATTAGACACGTACCATTGGGGAGGCATTCACAGGAGTTGGACAACATCAAGCTGAGCTCTCAACCGCAGTCTCACTATGACTGGATTCCCTGTGATCCAGCATGCGCCATAGGGCCACGACAGTACTTCACCTTCGTTTCCTGAATTATTCGTTCGCTCAACCACTAAAATTCGACTTCGGAGTTCTTCAACTAGCACCTGGCTTCTTGTATCGTATTGGTGGGACTTCTGATATGCGTTTTGTTTTTACTTGGTAAAACTACTTTATGATATTTTCCCCGAATTAGTTATGTCGCCCTGAATACTTACTTCCTTGTCGAACGAATTTCAAAAGCCGAAATGGCAAGCTAATTTCGACTCTCCTTCCTTTGTGAACATCGATCTACGGGCTCAGTATTGTTCTAAATCGTTGTCTAGGCTTGGTTCAGGATTATCACAGCTGGTTTGGCGTTAATTTTGCTGTGATCTACCGCAGTCGTCAAAGTGCTCAGCGCATTCTGAGCACAACTGTAGTGTTCTTGATAATAACAATTATAATGTATTTTGTTGGTTACACGAGACAGGCCCGTTGCGCCATGGGAACTTTTGTACGACCACATTGCATCAAGATGTTCACAGGATATTTAGCATGCTGGGATTTGCTTGTATCGAGAACTGTAGAATTCAGAACTCATTGAAGACAACCGGTTGCTATAATGAATGGACAACATTACATTTTTAACTTCAAAGCTTCATTGCCCTACTGAACAAGCGGATTGGGAAGATGATTGGGACGAATGAGATGTACTCGTGAGAGTACTAGCGTTACACGCTAAACTACCACTCCATGTGATGCATCAGTGATAAGGAGATCCCAGGTGGTCCACATAGGAGGTCACCACATGTAAGTCCCTGGCACTGATGGGGGCGGTTGGTTTTATGCCCACTCTCTACCCAGAGTCCGTACACCGACGCTCCCCAGACAGCTTGGATTAAGGCAGCCAGTAACACATTCGGAAGCTCCACCCCATCTATTCTGTCCATGTAGCTGTTGGCTTTCGCGATTTTCACCGCCTCAGCAATCAGTCCTATGGAATGTTGATTACAACACCCTCCTAGCGATGTCGACGTCATTAAAGTCGATTTCAGCCCATGCGGCTAATGTATGCATCACTACCATTTAATCCATTGGCGGAGCACTGTATTCAAGCACGTTGTTCGGCGGCCATGTGTACTTCTGTGTTCTGCTATCCTCATGCACAGTTTTATCACAGTTTAACAAAAAATGGATCATCTTATCGAGAACGATTCTCCGTCGCGAATTTCCGAAGTGTTCTCTATATTCTGACAGAATAGTATGGGCTAATGACATTATTAAATCCAAGACGTTTAATTTCTCCCACATTCTTTGTGAGATGTGTTCAAATTCCCCAACTGCATGATTCATAGCCTACATCGTAGGATCCTGACACATGGCTCACTGAGTAGACCAAACCAAGTTTTATTTTTCTCGGGTTGCGGGATAACGAGTGGTAAGAAGATTATGATACCATTCCCAATACCTAGAATAAAACTCCTAATTTAGGCAACACGTTTCTCTGTACATTATCGTATTCCAGGAGAGGTGTAGGGAAGGTCAAATGCACATGTTCTTTCGATATTTCTTCCTGCTTAACTTAACGGCTGTACCTAGCGGTCGAGTACCAACAAAAGATTGGTATGGAGATGGGTGTGGGGAACTTGGTTTGAATGGTCCAACTAGCTGAGATATGTTGGTGCTACTGTACCATATGCGTGGACCTGAAGCAGTTCTCATTTCATCAATCCGCGTTCACATTAAATTGGTGAAGAGTCCCTGCGAACGAATAGACCGCCATGTTGAATATGTTGGTGACGAATGGTGTGCGAGTGTATTGGCTATTAGCATTAACGGAACACTGTGAACTAGTTCCCACCGCATATACTGCTTCCACTTTCGGATTGGATTTGGAGCTGAAAAACATAAAATATCTGATTGACTTGAACGACCCACGCATTCATTGCCACATGGTCAAGACTTCCGATCGATTTCTTTGTAACTATCACGTAAGAATGTTCCATTACAGTCGTGTCATTGGGGCTCTGGTTTGTGGACTTGTGGACTAAACTACTGTTTTGACACTCTCGCAGTCATACCGTTTGAACATACCAATTTTTCACCCTGGTCTACGTTTCCGTGTCTACCAGCGCTCCTAGTGGAACCCGACACTGTGTTGAACGACTGAAACCTAGCTCACCAGGCGATCACTGAACTCCACGATGAACGCTCAGCGCAGTGATCGAGAATTTATTACGATACGAAGTCGCAATTCTGTGTCCTCGATTTAATTTGACGTAATCCTAGGTCATTCCGATTACTAGCATTTTAGCCGAAGTGGAAGGGTTTCGGAGCTGCTGTGTCCTGTCACTGCAATGCATAACGTTTTTCGTTCTTGTTTTGAATCACAACGTAGAGATAGCCTGAGCCGAAGCCGGAGCCGGAAATGAAACTCGGAACTTAAGCTTTGACGATTAAATCTTGAACATAAGCTCACTGTGATCTGTGAGCAGCTCTTGACACAACAGTTAGGAATTCCATGTTGGATCTTGGACTACCGGCCGCGTGTTTGGACTTGGGCACTTAATCTACCTGATGATATAAAACAAAAGAAAACTTATCGTAAAGTGAATTTTTGGGATTGAGCAACACTGAAGATGACTTCATCCTTCACCTTTTCTATCCGAGCTTCCAATCGACTGATGTGAGATGGCATCAAATTTCAAACTTTCCTAGGTTATATTGCGCTTACTGCTGGCCATTTTAGCAAACGGACACATGGAACCGAAATACTACTTGGCTGTTCCGAATGACACCGGTCTTCTGCCTATCACAAGATTCCCAGCAGATTCTGGCCCTCGGAGGCTGTGGACACCCGGAAGTTGACCATCAAGTGGAGGCGTATCCATCACTCGGATCGAAAAATCGAAGCAATGGGAACACATTCTTTGTTTGTACGTTTCAAGATAATACATCCAATCTCCTACTTGGTTCACTTTTTGAAACACTGTAGCTCCTTAACTCGACATTGGTCTAATCATTTCTTTCATTAATAACAGCTTTCAGGCTAAATCGACGATTGTGCCGGTTCGCAATCTGTGAGTCCAAACGACTGTTCGTAGCGTCGAGTTTCGGCCATTTGTTGAGGCAGGAAGAATGAGTTATCTTGCGCTCCTTAACATGACCTCACCATAATACGAGAGGGTGTTCCAGCCCCAAAGAAAACCCTGCACTGACGTGCACCGTTCGTAATGGGTTGCAGTATATTCAAAGCTGAATTTAGGGAGCACGCTGTGTGGTTGGGTTGCGACTCGCAACCTTTGTTGAGACCTCGGCTCACTTTGAGGTAAACCTCGGTCATTCCGATCTTGAGGACCGTACCCTGAATGGAAATATTTGGGTGTTGCTCTTCCCAACCATGGCACACCACGACCGCGGTTTCGTCTTGGTTTAGACTCCTCAGGTGGAGATAGCCTGAGCTGGGGTGCAACTCAGAGCTTAGTACTTCATGGCTGACGCCCTGAACACTATGCTACTGAGATCCGCAGTATAGTTTATTTTGGAACGAGATGAATTTGGACTCTGTGTGTGGGATGATGGCATCCAACACGATACGTGAGCTTACTTTGCTCAGCCATGATGAGAATACAGTTTACGGACAGCACACAGCTTAGAGGACGGGTCACGATGTCAGTTCGATAAATATCGATCCGGACGCCGATTTTGAGGCGGCTATCAAAATCCCATAGGGAAGCGGCCGTGAGCTTCACCTCATCGGTAGCCATGCCAACACTTATGAGAAGGGGTTGGCTGATAAGAATCTGACGGTATCTAGATCTCAGTCAATATAAGCTTACACTCGGGATCCATAAAGATACCCTGTCAACTTTGCGCACAATCGGCTATCCCCCAGGGCCAGCTCGCTGCAACTCCCTTCTGCATTTAACTACAAAATTTCAGCGGGTCATGGCTTCAGCATAAGCAGAAAAGCAGCACTTTTTGGCTACATCATTGGCAATCTGAACCGAATCGTTGGAGACTTGTAATATTAATGTTGTGAATCGCACTTGTTCTGGGGATGTAGCACATATCAGCTCCGAGATATTAGAGTTGGAAGGAGAGTTGCGTATATCTAATAGCCAATTGTAAATCTAAAACTTTCGAAGATTCAATGCAAAATGGAATACTTGAGTTTAGGTATACTCTGCAGCAAGTCTCTTCTGCCTTATTCAAATGTACGTGGGTTAATCAGTTCAATATGTGCCTTGTTCTACATATTTGACATGTATTATATTATTATATATTATTCAACACCTGACCAATGTACACTTGGCAGTGCACATAGTTAAAAACAACAAAATAGGGGGAAACGGGTAGTCAGTAAAAGCATTTGGAAAGTTTAGTGGGCTAATGTGTTGTGTGGGCCGAGATCTTCCCGGTTGCCCAGGCCGATGAAGAGGGTTGACTTAAGGGACCCCACCCCAAGCGTTCGATCTTAAGACCTAGCCCGCAAGGCAGCGGGGCGATTAACGAAGACGTCTGACATCCGGATGGCTCCTTCGCCTTCTCTCTGTTTAGTGGCAGTCCAGAGAGAAGCCAGTGGTCAGCAAGGTTGTTCATCCGCTCTCCGTTATATACTCACCTCTGGTTACACAAGTGAGTGGTCAGTGACCCTAAGGCCGGTTACCTTAGATTTGACACAGTGTCGTACGAGCTCTTGTGGTATTTGACGGAGAACCAGGTGACCAGCCCAGAACTCCCCACTCTCTAAGACGCTGACACTGACTGTCCGCGACTGTTTATTCATCTCGTCTGCAAGGCAGACGAGACTTATTCGCAGTTACATCCACAAGGAAGGCATTCCCCAATCCGCAATCGGGGGACGCGCTCGATAGCGTACAGCTTCTCCACGGGATGTTTGACATGTACTTCCAAAGCGGAAGCAATGCATGCCGTAGGAACTGACTATTTTGTCCTGTTCCTGCCAGGCGTTACTACTGTCGTGTACTAATCAGTGTCAAGGTGACCTTGCAACATGGATAGAGTGTTATGGTGACATTTCTACGGGATGTGGGTGTAAAACCAGCTAAAACTTAAAGCAGGTTTTCGTCAGATTGTGGTGACAAAATACTCAGTCACAGTATGACATGTCAATGATGCAAGCGCACCTAAGATTGTCACAACTCTACTACTCACGATCCCGGTGGAGGTGGATGCCACCCCCACGTAATATTCTTGGGAAAATTCAGCACGTTGAACAAGTCATCACTGGCAATCGTTGCATACCTCGTCGTCAAATTGCAAATGCATTTCTTCTTTTGTTGGAGGCACCAGACCAAATAACACGATCACTTGCTGTTCCCATAATGTAACTCCACATGGGTTCCGTAACAGTTTTCCACCTTTGAACAACACAGACAAGTTGGTTTGTTTTGCGTCGAAGAATCGTCATGATGTGCACCGCTAGTATTTCTTGCATTGGATCCTCACAACCTTCTTCTAATCCTGACTTCGCGCCAAATAATCTTGACCCGTCTGCAGCGTTGACAGAGTTTTTCATCATGTCATTTTTATCACAATGATGACGAGGTGAAGCAAGTTGTCCAGACTGGTCCAGAAGTGTTAGCAACTTTGTTATACTGAATTCTCCAAAGCATTCGTGAAGCGCAGGAGGATATATTAAAAATAAATACAAGTCTCAATTCCTAGAACTTGTACTTTCTTTTAACTACCTGATGGACTCGAACGTCGATTATGTTTCGATGTTTCCTTTGTCTTACTTTAAAACAAGTAAGGCTCCCCGTCTAGAATGAAAATTACTTGTACTGTCAATTTGCGCTAGATCTGCGTGTGATGGTGAAATATCGCAATGATGAAGAGAATTGGAAACTCCTGACAGAAATACTCTGCACATTGTCTTAGTCTAATGAACGCGATATTTCATCTCTTCTTACCTCTTGTTCCAGGCACTACTGGAAGTCGGATCGTGAAGGATTAGTGCCCTCAGACTCCGTCATAGCTGGTATGGCACCAGAGAAACTTCCACTATACATAGCCCGGACACAAATTGCTGATAAAGATGTGCTTGGTTATGTAAGTACTGATTACATCCACTTGGATTTTCTACAATGCATTAGCAAGACCATATTTTATTGCTATTAAGTAGGTGAATTTTATATAAAAGTTTACTGGATCCTCCCGGCTGCTCACTAGGCACATGATGTGATCTTCGATCTGGAAAAGCATTAGACGATCGTTTCGTCTAATTGGGACGCCTCAGTTTGGCTCATTCCCACTGTCCACTGTAGGGGATCGAACTCATGACTAGCAGCTTGCGCCAACTGTGCAGCGGTCTGTGCCACCGAGCCTTGGGGGACGGAGGCAGACTGTCATAACTTGCAAGTTAACTGGGATATACTGCAACCTATCTTCCATTGCCATGCAGGCTCCTCCTATTGCAGAGGTTAGCGGCTGGCCTGCAAAGGTCAGGACATCCACAGCACCGTAACTATGTACGGCATAGCATATGAGGACTGTGAGGGCGGATGTTTGAATTACTGAAATTTAGCTGTTCCATCCATACAGCTCATAAGTCAAACAGTTTAGCCACCAGTCCGGCAAAGCACCAGGCGATCGTTTCTCCCTAATTTGGCTCCTCAGTGATGCGCATTCCCACGGTCCCTTGCACGAGGTCGAACACATTACCTCTAGCAGCTTGCGCCAACTGGCCAGCAACTTATGCCACTTAGTTACGGGAGACAGAGGCAGACCGTCGTAAGTCGCAAGGTAACTGGGATTTATTGTAACATATCCTCCACTGCCATCTAGCTTATTCCCACTGCAGCGGAAAGTGCCTGACTCCCAGACAGGTCACGACTTCCACTACACAGCAGCCGTGCAAGCATAGCGTTTGACAGCTTTGAGGGCGAATAACTGAAATTTCATCAACATTTCCCAACACATTAGCAATCAAAACATTCGCCCTCACAGCCTTCAAACGCTATACGTTCATAGCTATCATGTATTCGAAGTTGTGACCTATGCACTGGTAAGAACATGCATGGTAATAGTGGACCGGTAGCACTATATCCCAGTTAACTTACAAGTTATGGCGGTCAACCTCCGTTTCCCAAGGTTAAGTAGCATAAACTTCTGGATAGTTGGCGCAAGCTGCTAGGGGTCATAAGTTGGATCCCCTATAGGGGACCGAGAGAATGCGCACAGCTGACAGGCCCCAATAAGAAGAAACGACCGTCGGTTACATTTCCGGCTTGGAGATTAGAGAATCTCGCTTGTAAAAAGCCGGAACAAAAGTTCCAAAGTCCTTTTTTATATTTGATCATGGGTAATAACTATTGGGCTTTAACTCCCCGGTAGCTCAACTTTTGCAAGAAGACTAGTACGAACACTACATGGTACTGTATCCTAACCCTTACCATTGGCTATACTAAAAGAGGCTACAGTGACCTAAGGGTCCATAAGTATTGACCGTCTAGTGGATTTTGATAGGTGCTTTTTAGAGGACACTCTTAGCATAACGACATTTGTTGGGGCAGAAGCGGCGATTATTGTATCTTCACCCACCGCGACACGCGAAAGACTGACAAAAAGGTGATAAGCATAGCCACACACGTTGTGCATTTACAGTAGCAGATGGTGACGTTGGATGCTTCATCTACGGACAAACTCCATTTGAACAAATTGTTGGATTAATTTTGCCGCGCAATATCATTAGGGACCAAGATATTGCCTATAGCGAAAATAGGTTAGTTTAGTCTTTTGGACTGAATTCGAAGGAGCTAACTTTTGTCAGCAGCCATCTTTGCATTTTACGACCTCATGCTCGTCTGGTTTCTTCAGGTGAGGACAAGCACTCAGTGGAGATTGTGCACATGACGCTATCTGATGCCTTTGGCTATACACTACCTGTTGAGAACGCACGCGGTTCACACGAGCTACTTACTTGGGAAGACAAAACCAGATGACATAATACCTGGAACGTAAAACAGACGGTTCCAGTTGCTCACTTCATTCGTGGTGCCGCTTAGACTCTCGTTCTTCAACGCACCTTCATCCACAACGTATCGACGGTGGTTGATTCGTGCACTAAGTGCCCTTCATCCGCAGTGATCCATGGTTGCTCTGCTTTCCTTACGCCTGCTCGTTTTTACTTATCTTGCTCATTGCTAATGAACCAAACACTGCGCCCTTCCCTTCACTTGAACAACGCAAACAAGAAAGAAACTGGTGCTTAATTGCCATGTGGGAATCGCGGCAACACATAAACTTTGCAGACAGTTTAATTCTTTTAAAAGAGTTGTTATCACTTGAGATACGCTAGTAAAGTAAACCATGCTCACCCGAAAGCCAATTTCATTCCCATATCCTCAGCATTACCCGTCGCAGCCAAGTTATTACCGGTTCAAAAGTAATTGACCATAGAGTATGATTTATCTACCTCCTTCGGCACTACAAAGTGCCTTCTACCAATCATTTGTGAGTATCGGCCCGAGTTTAAGCATATACCTTGATAATGAATGGTAAGCTGCTATGCGAAGGTATTATCCTAAGTACATGCTGAGTACTGTTGCGCTCGAATTATGTCTCCAATAAGCACAACGATAACCACTGATCTGCTATGCAACCACAACTGCTTGGGAAACTTCTGGAAAACTTGGAATATTTGTACAGTTTTTCAAAGGGATCAGTATTATGCGCAAGAACATGAAGTTTAGAATGTAGCTAATATCATCGCAGATGGTGCTTTGACAATATTGCTACTGACCTTTTCTCATAATCAAAAACCGAAGCGGCAATCGCGCCTGAGGATTTATTTGAGGTGATATCCTCTTTTAGGGGATCCAGCTTTCTCATCAGTCTCTTTCTTTCAAGCGCAAAATTTGTTTAAATGTTTGGGTTATCTGATAATTTTTTATTTCATTTTAATTATGTCTTATTTTAGCACTACAAGAGTCTGTCTCACAAACTTCTACATGTTATTTCTGTGGTATAAGCAAAACCATGCATGAATTTTTTCAATATTAAACCAAGACTTTCACGAACATATGCGCAACCGGTTTCATCTTAATATTATTCCGCGTGATAGGTATTTGCGGAAGAGAGATGCGCCTACTTCGTCCATGAAGACTCCGTAGTATCGAGAGACGTGTACGAAGTACTAGTCTGGGAGAAAAACCTATTAGTATGAGCTGCAACGCACCGATTAATGTAATTACTTGTGACACCAACGAACTGGCCACCCCTTTTTCATCCCCAAATTGAAAGCATACACTACTTTTTCTTTTCAGCATCTTTTACCTTCTTATTAACCGTTTGATAATCATTGTAACACAGCTTCCCTCTGCTACTGTATATCGGAATATTCAATGACGTTTTTAAACTAACGATCCTCGGACACATTTTTGCTTTCTCCGTTTTTGTGGTGGTCAATGGGTTTTTGTTATGTTTGCTTTCCCTGGGCATAATAAAATGAACAACGCCGAAACAACAATAGGTCTAAACTCATTTGCAGTGAATGAAAAGTTCTCATGCCTTCTTCCTTGGATCACCTGCTTCGGATTCGCTTCGAACTAGAGGATGCTACTATTTGATTGGTATGCTGGATATGAGAAATGGGTAACCGTTAGCGCCAGTTTTAAGTGGAGGGCTGGATATTATCACACACACACACACACACACACACACATATATATATATATATATATACTCTATGACCAGCATTGAGAGGCGTCATTCAATCCTACATGGAACAGGAAATAACTTGGGTAGGGTGCGATCGACTGCCAAGGAAGCTAGGGAACGAATAGCCCCTTTCGCGGGATCCAGAATCAAGTGAACCTGGGTTGCCAGCAACAAACTTTCAAAATATCAGCTGCTGATGTACTGAGAACTTTCACTCCAAATGACGAGTTCAAACCTAATCAATTTGCAACCGCAATGGTGTAATTATATGCACGCTGGTTCATCTTAAAATGCATTACTGCATCATCCGTCGCTATGAACAGGACTGCAGTTTTATAACTATCCCCACATGCAGCTTGCACTGCCAATATACTGATGCGATTTGGTTGTTTGTATTAAGATATAAACGTCTTGCTATTCAAGTGGAAGTTAGTCACATCTAGATTCAGTCAGATAGTTATCACCTACGCTTTCCGGAAAAGCACTGCGCGGACGTTTCGTCCTTGGGGGAGTCGTCAGTAGTGCGCACTCTGTCAGACTGCTGTGGGACTCGAACCTGCAATTCGATTGTTTGTGATTGAGATCAATGAGCTATGGTGGACGGTAAAGGCCGTCGTAACTAAGTTACTACTATAGATATGATGTAGCGCTACAATAGTCGAGTTGCGATTTCGAATACCACAGCAGTCAGGTGGGCTGCGCACTACTGACGATTCCCAAAATGTGAAACGACCGACAGTGCTTTTCGGGCGTGTGACGACTGTCTGACTGATGAAGCTCTATTATTACCACTCAAATCACCTTATTACACCTTCTAAACTTGCTACTCTTGAGTCAACAACCTTTTAGACATCAGCGACCATTCAATCTCATTTGCGATTTTTGAGGGAGCCCAACATCCTTAAGTTCATATGCATAACTGATCAATACACGGTTGAACTTCATCCAATCATGGGCATTCTTGTCATCTGGGAATTCATCTGCGGGGAGGAAACTGCTGCCGCAGGCGTAGGCTTTGTGGGTAAAGATACCGAACCCGTTTCTTTTGCTGGCTGTTGGCTAAGCATTACTCCACGAAGATACTTACATATCGAGGAAAAAGTCTCCTTTTGCAGAATGACAGATTTGCATATCTAGAAGGGAGAATTCACTTTGCGACAATTCAGAGGCGATTTGACCAAATGATGGTGTTACTGTGTTTGTCAGTAGCTATCGCTGCGCCCACCAACTGCATAATATCAGTGTCTTCGCCTAACTCTCATAAGGTACATAGTACGCGGTTTATGTGAGATCGAGCCCCCTTAACATCTTATTGTCTGAAAGACCATTGGCCTAAGCACTGTAGCTATTAGGTACTGGAAGAAAATAATGCTACTTGATACACCATCAGTAGATTGATTAAATAAACAAATAAATGGGAAGTCCTCGCCGGTGCGAGACAGTCCAACTATGTGGTCTGATCAATGTGACATCATATTCCACTGAATATGTAGCACAGAGACTTCTTCGTCACAGTTTACTACCAAACCATATAGGTACTGTAGCGCTGCAGCGCTTTGGTGTTTCGTATTTACTGACTGTTCACAGGTTACCATGCGAGTAACTTTCCTCTTGTGAATGCTGGTTACGAGGGAACATCCAGCAACTTTCGGTAGCCGCAGTTTGGTTGCTAACCCAAGTAAGAACTGGCCACGATTGATAAGCCCCGGTTACTTGTTGAATGTGCGATTTATTGCTTACCAAGGGCCATTTTTCAGGCAGCTGAAAAAATAGACGCACAATGCAGAGTGGTAGTCAACAGATGTCGGTATTGCAGCGACTTTATTGAAGCGGTTATCAGACTACTTGTGTTCTGGTTTATTGCTTTCCATACACAAGTGAATTGACATTCGAAGTAGTGTCTAGCCAGGTGTACAAGATGTAAGGCTCTACTTACTCCATAGGTTCCTTAACGGTTTCTAACCGCTTCATAAACATCCCAATGTTTATTGTCTAGAAACTTTAAAGCTCTACCCAAAGAGTACGTAGCCATCCCATTTCGGTCATCCTCAGTTCTCAGTTGATCACCTCTGTGAAACACAAGTAAACTCTGGTGTCGTACGTAAAGCTGACACCTCTCATTCTGTCAGCTTATCGTTTTAGCGTTACCCCAGGCAAAACTTCTGAACTTCTGAGTTGCACACAACCCCCAATCATGATTCCATCACGGAGATAAAGTGGGCTTCCTGGAAAATTTTTGCAGCACGTTTCTATAACCAACAGTGTCTGATAACAGTTATAGCCATCGTTATTTTATTCTGTCTAGGACCTGTGTAGTGTGTTATCGATGATGAATTGAGCGCAGGCCAGTGAACACATACAGATGGCTACCAGGGATCAGTCACTGAAAGTGCTCTTCAGTAGAATGGTAAAGTATGAAATGAGCTTTGGTTCCTTAATTAGCGAATTTTAGGTCATTGGACTGTCTGTATTGATTATCGGAGGGCGGCCTCGTGACAGTATATGATAGGAGTCATAAAATGATGACTATATTTCGCAAACGAAAACTTTATGGCTTTGTTTTAACCCGGTCTTTCAAGCTGCTCGGCATTGAGGACGACCATCGATCAACTGTCACGAACCAATTAGTCGTATAGATGTCTCCATCCTTGTTACTACAGTACAGCTTAAAGTCCCATGCACTAAAGACCGCTTAATTTTAACGTTTCCTTTGTAATGTTTCACTGACGGCGTACGCCAATCGGTGTTAACGAAGAGATGAATGACAATATTGATGCCAACAGTGATAAACTTAACCACACTGGTGTTGCCGCGGCTCTTTAGGAAGGGAGACACGGTTTTGTTAAGGGAGTTATTCGTTAGGTATAATACTGCAATGCATGCCCAATGACTCTCCACACTAATCCTCTCTAGAACGTTTGTGGCTAATGAAACCGTAAGAGATCAGCTGCTTCGGTTGCTGATCGCGTGCATCCATCAGTTGTGATCAGTGCTGGAATTCCACGTTGCACCTTATGAGGGCCATTAACATGCCTGTATAAGAGTTTGCGGTTTGTGCAGAATCTCTCCATTAACTTCTGTTGATGCGTCACCTTTCTCTCGAGGATCAGAGTCACACAAAAGTTAGGCTGTGCCACATAAACAGTCCAGGTTTCGGAATTCGGTGAGTTCTTGTGAGCTCTTCATTCTAAGTTCCTCTAGAACATGCATTTGCGTGTTCTGCTTCTCAGAAATGACTTCCTTCTGCTTTGACGATGGAAGGATTTCTGCTCAGACGCGTGCGTTACCAGTGTTGTGAATGTCCTTGTTAAAATCTCCCAGGCGATTTCTCGAGGGCTTTCCGTTAAGAAGGTCCAAGATACCACCTTAACAAGCGCGGATAACACATTGTAGTACGTGACCGTATATTCTTCTCGTCCTCTTCCTCAGAAGATTCCGTATAACATACATAGCTGAACAGTAGATTCAGATGGTCACTGCGACCCAGTGGTATGCCTGTAATTATTCCGTCTACCACGAGTTCTTCGTTGGTGAGCACAAGATCAAGTATCAATGGTTTGTTAGCAGTTCGAAATCTGATGGGATAGATTACGTGTTTGTGGATATTACCACTTGTAAACCGGCTTTGAACTGCATGCTATCGATCGTCGCTATGTTTAGATCGCGCACACTAAAGTCGCCTGCTATGAGAATGTGACTGTATGTCTTGCTCAAAACAACCTGGAGAACGTGGTTTAGTTTAGATTCCATTTCGCACATAGTGTTTGGTGGATGGTAAATCAGAGCTAATTATATATGTCTTTGTTCCGTAATCATAGCCGGCACCAAAGTGAATCTGAGGCACGGATCTCTGGTTGGTCAAAAAATTCACATCGGTGGTTAGCTTTGTAATACAGAATTACGCCACCTCCACTTCCAGCTCTGTCATTCAGAAGCAGTGACATACTAGGTAAATTGACTTCAGAATCCGTAATCTCAAGGCTTAACCACGTCTCCATATTCAAAATGAGATCCCGTGGTTGTGACCCCTGACGTTGCCTAAGTTCGACCAACTTACTAAGGAGATCTTGGGTGTTAGTATGCAATCATGATAGTGTTTTTGACGTTAGAAGTGTGTATGTGGACAACAAATTCGTGCTTAGTTTTAAGCCAAGCGTTCGTCGGTCGGGCGCTAGTCGTTTTTGCATGCGTCATTGATTTTTTCAATTTCAGTCAAGCTGCATGGCAGCATGGAGTATCCCAGATCGACATGTTCTCTCGTGTGTTTCCCTGTCCTGTCAGGTGTTGCTAATGCCATGTTGTCTATAACTGCAGAATTTTAGAGGCAAATATTTTATTGTTGCATGTTCCACTTAAGTGCTTCTGCTCTCTTTAGCCTAATCTCGGTGGGCAATCTGGAGCGATGCTTCAACCAGCTATCCAATAAGACTTCTGTCATTCCCTCAGAGTGTCGCACGACTTTCAATATTTTGAACCGCAGCCATTCTAGTTTGGAGATGAAGCAATTCTGATTAGTGATTTAGCGATTACGTGGTCCACAGAGAGTGCTTGGTGGATGTAGCACCACTGCTCTCGGTCATGTTTCTGCACTTCGTGCTCAGGAGAGCCCAGTAGTTCAGGAACACCATGAGCAAATACGGCTTTTGCTTTCGTTCATAGAACGGCCCCCATGGTATTCATTATTCCTTTCACCGTCCTTTCTAAGGAATATCGGGTAGTATGCGTACTCCACTCGATGAGAGTAGGACAA